TTGCATAGGCTGTTTTTTTTTTTTAGTTTTTACTTTTACTTCATTTTTTAAGTTTCGCTGGCAACAACAACTAGGCGCAGTTTTTTTTTTTTTTTTAATTTTAGATTTTAGTTTTTATTTCTATTTTATTTTTTTAATTTACTTTTGCATTGCTCTCTATATATGTTTTTTTTTAGTTTTTAGTTTTAGTTTTTGTTACTAATACAAACGCTTTACAAATTGTTAGTTCTAGATTACTTTTAGCTGTTCACTTTATGCCTTTTAATTATGTTTGGCTTCTTCTGTTCTTTCAGCTCACTTTCGTATATAAAAATTATTTGCATTCGCCCAAAAATTCTCAAAATTAAAGGCTCTACAAAACGCAGCTTTATCTATGTGTCCATGTGTGTATGTGTGTGTGTGTGTCTGTGTATCTTTTAACTCTTGTTTAATTTAAGCCAGTTTTTAGTTTCTTTTATTTTTGCAACAACTAACAATTTTTTTAAAGTATTTTTTACTACTTTTTTTTTATTTATGGTATTTTATTCTTATCGATCTTTAAAATTCAACAACGTTTTCTTTTTTTATGTAAGAATATATATAAGTATTTATGTGTATATATTATATAATATATATATATGTATATAGCGGTTTAATATGTTCGACTCTCTCGCTCGCAACCCTTAGATAGATGTAATATCTACCCAGAGATATTATATACTTATATAAATGAATAGGTATTACGCCTATCTAGGGTATGTTTTTCTTTTTAGCTGTTTCTCTTTTGCTTTGCACTGCAACAATTTGTGTCTTTAGTTACTATTTTTAACCCTGCCTACGATTACGATTATGCAATGGCTTCATTGCTCTATAATTTATGTACTATCTGTATAGAGCATTTAGAGCATATATTATATATATATATATATGTATATATGTATATGCTAAGTATTGTAAGTATATATGTATGTATATATATAAAAAATCATCTGCTACAATATTGAATTTATCTACAAAAAGTTTCAACTAATTGTAATTATATAATAACATGCTGCTCCACACATATACAATATATAATTATATATATATGCATATATAAATTAAACATAATTTCGTTTTATTTTTTTATTTTAGTATTTTTCTTTTACTTTCAGTTTTATCGTCTTGTGTTTGTTGCTAAAGTCTACAATTTGTTACGGAACATTCTTATCAGAAATATTAATACATATTCATCATTTTCAGCTTCTGCTTCTGCTTCCTCTTCCTGCATCATTTTCGTTTTTCATTTAAAAACCTAATGTTTCAATCACTAACAAAATAAATTTTGGAGCCTACAACAAACTCGTTGCATAAAAACTTTGTGTATAATATTATCATCATCTCTATCGTTATCTTCTGCTGCATTTTTATATATATATATATATATTTTTTTTTTTTTGTGAATCGCCTTAGTTTATTTATTTAGCCCCCCATTGCGACTGCGATCCGACTACTCAAACAGTGCCTAAGAAAATATACTATCAAGAAACAGAGAAGAAAGTTAATAATTAATTAATTTGTTAATCTGTCATATTTCGCATTAAGTAGAAATATTTTGATATTTTGTTGACTGCCCAAATGCTGCTATACATTCAATTAAATAAATGGAATAATAGCTTCAATGAATTTTAACGGGCGCCTGAAAGTATGCTACGAATTTAATATACAGAATTTAGCTGCTTATACAGCTTAAAGTTGAACTAGAAATAAATTAAAATTAAACTTTATTATAAATATAATAACAAAAAAAAAAAAAAACTAATTGATCTACACACTAAATATTTTTAATTTAAGCAAAAATCAAAACAAATGAATAATGAATATTTAAATATTTACTACTTTGTTTCTCTCTGCGAATCTAACTCAAATATTAAATATAGTATTCAACTGTTTTATCGTTTTTTTTTTCGGGCTGCCCACACTTTAATCGGTCCCTGGGGGGCTACGCAATTAATGTTTATAATTTGCATTATGTTTTGTTTTTTGTTCTATGTTTTTTTCACCTCTATGCGCATTTTGTATCTTAGACATAAATATTTTTATATAAATATAACACGACTTTTGTTTAAACTATATATATATATATATGTGTATATATATAGATATATATATGTATAGTACAAATATATGTAGCAATTGCTTAGTTTGTGAAGTTAATCGAAGTACACTACTATAGTTTATCGTTATCGTTATCGTATAATATCTGTGTAACTTTACAAAACAACCGAAGCTCAAAACTTTGACTCAACTTTTACTTTATTTGCCATTATACAAATGTTCTACAATGTATTTTAGGTTTTTCTGTTATCCTTGACTTTGGTTTTATCTCCTTATTTCCTTCTTTGTCTCTCTAGGTGGTTTCTTAGCAGTGCAAAAGGCTTTATTTGTTTAAGGTTAGGTTAAATCGTCTTATTAGTGGGTGTTTTAGGATTCGATTGTTGGAAGTTTGTCTGGACTAAACGCTGGGTGCAACTCGCTCTAGAATTATCTCTCTAAATTGTTAGCTAGATAAACATATGAGATAAACGCGCTCATCTATCAAATGTTTTGCGGCCTGTCGTTAGGGTTAGGTTCGGTATTTACTCTTGAGATCCTTGCTTTACATATATGTTTATATATATATATATGTATATGTATATAGGTTAGGTTAAAAGGTAAAAACAGAATACATAAACAAAAATCAAAATTTGTAAATTATTTTTGTAAGCATTTTTATTATCATTTTCATCTCTCTCTCTCTCTGTTTTGCTTTCTCTTTTACTTTGCTTTTTGTTTTTGCTTTTTCATTTTTTAAAAATAAATAAAACGTCTTAAATTTTAATTGCATAAAAAATAGAATTTTCAAATGAAATTTTCGTGTTTTTTTTTTTTCTTCTTTTTGCTTTTTTTGTATAAAATTTTATTTGATTTTTCTTAGATTTTTCAGTTGTTGTTTTTCTTTTTTGGATTTTTCTCGTTTTTCTTGTTTTCTGTCTATTTGTTGGGCTTAGTTTAGCTAGGTTTGCAGGTAAATGTAACTCAATGTTTAACAAATAAAAGTAAAACTTAACTTAAAAACTGTAAACAGTAATAATCATAATAATAATAATCATAATCATAATCATAATAATAATGATAATATATTATAGATCATAATATAAAATTGTATCAAGATTTAAGATCTTTGCAAATCACACCAAACAAGTTATTAATTAATTAAAAAACAAAAAATATATATAATATTGCATATATATATGTGTGTATATGTTGAATTGTGAAAGGTTTAGGTAGAAAATAGGGCTAAAGGCTAGAGGTTGGTTCGTAAAGTTGTGAAGCATTTGCTCAGCAATTGTCTATATCCAACAAAAGAAAACTATATATGTATATGTTTGAATAACATTGCCAAACTGTGAAAGCTTTAGAAGCTAGTGTAGTGCGAGGGCAGCTAGACAAGTTGTCAAGCCTATGAATTGATTAAATTATATAAAATATAAAATATATACGCATATACATAAAAATCTCGAATTGCGATGATGATGCTAATTTGAGATAGTTAGAGGGTGGTTTAAAAAGTTGTCAAGCATAGCTGACATTTGACTTTGTACAAAATATATATATAGTATTAAATACAGAATTCTTTAACTGAAGAAATTTTAATTATTTTGAAGTCCAATAAATAACGAGGGTATTATATATATGCATATATAGAAACACTTGAATGTTGTTTAATGAAAATTGTTAAATGGAGGGTGGTTCGAAATGTTCTAAAGCTGTAAGCATTATATTTGAAATTGCAAAACTTCAGAGACTGTCAATTGTCAATGCCAAATGTTAGAAAGCGGTTCGAGGGCGTTTAGAAAACTTATAAAGCACATCTCGCAGCTCTGACTATATGCACGCTGAGTTATTCAATTTTTGCTGCTGCTGCTTCTTCAGCTACTTCGTCTAGTTTCATTATCAACAAATAACAAAGAAGAAAACTATCAAATAATAGGTTTACCATAATCAAATTTATGATATATAGTTCATATATGTATATATAAATGTGTGTGTGTGTGTGTGTGTGTGTGTGTATAAGAAAAATCATAGTTCGCTTAGTCTAACAGTTGCCGTTCGCCTTGCCACGAGGCAACTGAGGAGGGAAGTTCTTTTGCTCATTTCTAAATGGTTCTGCTTCTTCGTCTTCATCTTTAATTAATAACATTATATATATTTTTTTAGATTTTTTTTTTAGGGGGTTTTAGATTTTTTTCTTGAGTCAATTTGTAGAATAGGCAACGAAATTATTTACATATGCACGATTTATGTGTTCTTGTTCTTTTCTCTTTAGGAAAGCAAAACAAAATTAATTAACTAACAAAACTTAACAAAGTATAAAAGAAAACTAGATATTGATGTGTTATCGATAGATATATGTATATATGTATATCGGCTTCTATCTGCTCGCTAAAAACTAATAACAAAAGATGTTCTTTTTTGTTGTTGTTGTTTTGTATTAAAAATTAACAAATTTAGTTAATAAGGGCTTCCATATTTGTTTCGGCTAACGGTACGCATTAACAGGTTATCGATAGTTTGTTATCAAGAGAATTTTTTTTGTTTAGTTTTTCCTTCGCTACACTAAAAATTTAAGTTACATTTGTTGTTTCTCTTTTTTGTTTCTTTTTTAGTTATTTTTGCATTTAGTTTTACGTTAAGTTTAAAATAAATATCCGCTGCTTACAAATGTGTGTGTGTGTGTATAGGTGTGTGTAGATGTGTGTGTTTACTTAATATAATATATATATATTAATATATATATAACTTGTTATACACGTTAATGCATGTATAAATTGTTTTTCTCTTGTTTAGTTTAGGTTTTTCTCATTTTGTCTCTTTACTAAAAATTATTATATCGTTATCGATAGACAGGTTTAGTATTATTATTATTATTATTATTATTCATTATAATGTAATTGTTGATGTGGTATTTCGTATCGCTCAAAGTCACATTTTCTTTTATATATTTTATATTTTATTTGTTATTTGTTATATAATTTTCATTACACATCCTGGAATTTCGATAGACGTGCACGCAAGTCCATGTTCTCCTGTTTTAGCTGCTCGACCTCCTGATGTAACGTGGCATTCTGCAAGTGTAATTAATCGTTATCGATTGTCGTTAATTGATCGATTTGTCGGGCTACTCACTTCCTTTTCCAAATAGCGTGCACGCATCGCAATCTGGTTCTCCTTCTGGCGACGTGCATCTCTGGACCGTTTGGCAGCGATGTTGTTCTTTCGTCGTCGGGCCCAGTATTTGTCGTCCTTGAGCTCATCTGGAACAAATTGTTTGCGTGACTTTTTAATCATCGGCTGCGGTTTGAGCTCTTCGTCGGAGAATGCTCTGGTGCGCGGATCAAAGTCCCGCCCCGACGATGCGAATGAAAATGCTGGAATATCAAATACTAAATGTTAACAATGTTTTTCACAGACTGTTCGTGCTATATTCTTAATTAAATCAAATACAAAATGGACTCACTTTCAGATCGAAAACGAAACAGTAAATGAAAAACCAAGAAGAAGAACGATTTATAACGAACAAAAAGAAATCACGATAACTCAAATTGACAACAATTTGCCTTGATATTCGCACAAATTGGAATGAAATCAGCCTTTAACATTTAGCATTTGATAAGACATGAGCAAAAACATTTTCTATTTCATATTTTCTTAAATGCATAACTTATATGTGGTATATATAGAGATATATGTGGTATATTTATATATTTAGCAAATTTATATAGTTATATATTAAATAGATTCGATAGTTAAAGAGGCGCAATGTCCATTCCATTTGTGTTTGTTTTTTTTTTTTAATATATACTTTGAGTAACATAAATTAAAGTTAGATGATCATTCTCTCTCTCTGTCTCTGTTACTCCCATTGTGTATGCAATACTCACTTGATTCGGCCGGCGATGGCGGATTTAGCGTATCGGGACTAATGCAATCCGATGGCGATGGCGATCGCTCGCGCTTTGTGGTTATGTGCCCCAGACCCAGGGACAGGCCAGCTGCATGGCTCAGGGAATCGGATCGATGGCCGAGGCCGCCGGCATGGCCCAAATGGGTGCCCGGCAGGCCGTCGGGTATATTGTTCTCCGACAAGAACTCGTCCAAGTCCGCATACTGCATACGAAAAAGAATTGTTTACAATGATTGTCTCGCAACGGTCACACAGCAGTCGAAACAGTAACAACAAAAATTGAACAACACTGCACGATGTTTGTTTGCTTGTGTGGTGTTTAATTACCAATTGCCAAGTCAATTACTTTTTGCACTAGTCAATTACTTTCATAAAAAGGATATTTTCTATTCACTATTTGCATGTGTATTATGTAATTACTAGAAAAGTGCTCCTAACTAAGCATAATTACTGAGTAATTACTTTATTTTAGCTATAATTACTAAAGTAATTATATTGACAAAACATAATATTCTCATATATTTTTAATATACTGAGCAAAGGCAATTAAATTTTATTTAATTGATTAATTTCAGTAATTTCAGAGTCTAAGTAATTAAAAGAAGTATTTAATTAAATTAAAATTAATAATGATCATCCTTCACTCACAATTTTCTAGTTACCAAAAAGTAATTGCATTGGTAATTGAAATGTAATTATGAATTGCATGTAATTACTACAGCAATTGTGTTGAGTAGTGTATTTTGTATTAGTCAATTGTTGCTATGGAGGACATAAACTGTACAGTATTTAATAAATACCATAAATATATACTATATACAAAATGATGAGAATGCAATTCTCGCACTACGTTAAGCACCAAGACTCGGGTTAATCTGTGTGTGTGTGTATGTGTATATGTGTGTGTGTGTACTGTTTCGGTTGCAATTATTTGTGTGTGTTTCGGGGAAGTTGGGTTCGGGGGTGTAGTAAAACAGACGCAGCCACTACGCAGCGATGATAATGATACTAACTTGTGTTACCTTGAGGTCCGCATCGTAGGGCAAGGTTTTGTCCCACAGATTGGGCCCGAGAAATGCGGTCTGCGCCTCAACATTCCAGATGTCGCCCTCCTCTTTGTATTTGTCATCCGGACAGATGATTTCTTTGCTATTCGATGTGGATTTGCCTGCAACAAGAAAGTCCATTATAATATTGAGCTTAATATAGAAAATAGATAGTTAAGTTCTTCAATGATAACCAAGGACAAATTGCACATTATTACAAACTATTATTAATCATAGACAGACAACTACAACTACAACTACAACCGCAAATTGCGAATGGCGAATGGCGAATCGCACTGATAACGCTTAGGTGCTTAGGTATTTTTGTTTTTTCCACTAATTTCTAGAGTAGTTTTTATAATTTTTATTTTTGCAATTGTCAAGTGCATGGAGTGAATTGATAAGGGCCTGAGCACTACTTGGGCAGCTGTCAGGCTGTAAAGTGGGTCAACATGGCGTATACTAAATGCGTGATATTATATGATTTCGAAAAGAAATGTATAATCGATATGAATATGTATGTATAAAACTGGGCAATTCTTTTGGCAAACAAATACAAAATCAATTTCCGCATTCGCTTTGGCTAACGGCAAACAAAACGCAAAGAAATGGCCAAACAGCAAGGCGTTAGAGCGAGACAAACAAAACGAACAACAGAGGAAGCAGCTGAAGCAGCGCAGACTACAGACAACAGCGGCGACTGCGCAGCCAGCGGCAGCAAAAAGCGAAAGTGAAATTTCAGCTTTCAACTGATTTTTATCGCCGCCTCACTCAGCCAGCGACGCACTCAAACAAAAAGCTTCGCTCAATTGACGCTGCGCAGGCGCAACTGAGCGTGCTTTTGCCGCTACTGCGCAGCCAGCTGCGCTGCTACTGTCACTGTTAAACGACGACGCGCTCTTTGATTTCTTGCACATTTTACAGCCAAACGAGTTTTAAGCGAAGTCTGCGCCGATGCCGTCGGCAGAAACCAGTTGCCATCGCCATCGTCGCCGTCGTCGTCGTCGTTGTATTGTTGTTGTTGTTGTTCGTTTTCGTTTTTTGGTTTCGCTTGCATTAGTTTCCGCTTTCTTATTCACTCTCACTTTCATTTGCGAAGTTTTTACTGTTGTTGTAACTGTTGCTTTTTAGGCGAATTACCAACTATTGCGAAATTTTATGCGACGACAACGAAGACGACGGCAGCGACGGCGACGGCGACGGCGACCACATTTCTGGTCTGTGGCAGTGAAGTAATATTTTCATTTCTTTTTCTTTCCATTGGTTTTCTTTACGTTTGCCGCTGGCAGCGAAGCGTAAGTGAAAAGTGCGCCAATGTTTGTTAGTTGCATGCGAATTGTGAAGTAATAGCAACAAATGCAAACGCACACACGCACGCACACATTCACTCACATGCACATGCAGGCAAAATTGGGACTTGCAGATCTGAATGCGGGCTGGCAACATGGCGTATTTGGCTTTTTAATTAGGCATTTGTATTTGATTTTATTTGTTGGCCTCTGTTATTTGCTTTGCGCTGTTAGCTCTAGGATTTATTGTTTGGGAAATTTGCTGGTTCGCTGTTAGTTTTGCTTAACTGATGCGGGCTTTTTTTTAAAGCGAGAAAAAAGGAAATCAACAGATGATAAATGAAGTTGGCTGAAAGGTTTAACGGGTATTGGGATGTATGTGAGAAAATATATAGATACATATTATGGAATTTATGGGTAAATGACATAAAACTGAGAACGCACAGCAAGGCAAACAAGACAAGCAAAAGTCTAATACATTCACAGCTTTCGCAAGTCATTGAAAACGAAAGAATGCAAACAAAACAAAACAAGGCATAACATATGACAACATTTGCGTGCTGTAAACAAAAGAGAACAGAAACAAAAACATAAAAGGAAAAAAGAACTGAAAAAAATTACCGTTTGCTTTGCAAATAAAACCCAAAAATGGTGATTTCCTGCCTGTAAAACAGAAGAAGAATGAAAGATAGAAAGAAGTGCAGAATACATAATATACAACTAAAGTGAAACGGAACAAAATGAAACACAAACATAATGAAAATGAAACAACATAGCAAATATACATATAAGCATGAGTGAGATAATATTAAATGTCTCCCTGTCACTTTCACTGTTGCAGCAGCAGGAGAGCACGAGCCGACGGGAGAGTAAGGGAGATGGCGCAGGAGTTGCAGAATTTGGCACACGGCTTAACGAAACGCATTGAACTGAATAAGACAAAAGCTCGGGCATGGCAGCCAATGGCAGAGACAATATACATAAGCATGTATGCGTGTATTGTGCTGTCACTTTCACTGCTGCAGTTGATAGAGCGTCGAAGGAGCTGGGCAAGGGCAACGATAGAGAGAGAGAGCGAGCGAGAGGAAGGGAGACAAGTCAGGCAGAGCAGGAGCAGCAGAATCTGGCGCACGGTTTATTTTTAGCACAGCCAACGGCTTCGGCTGAGCGTCGGCTTTGATCGTTCGTTCGGCTTTGGCATTGGCTCCGTTTCGTTTACAGTTTCTCTTGCCAATTTAAGTGGGTCAACTGTGCGTCGCCGCGCTGCTTCTGTTGTTTTTATTGTTGTCACCATTGTTGTTGTTTGTTTCTCTTCTCTCTTTTTTTTTTTTTTTGGGTACTTTTGGTGGCCCAGCCACAAAGCGAGCTATTTTTTTAGCCCTTTTTATGGGCATTTTTTGTTGTAGTTTCTCGTTTGTAATTAAAATAATTTGCATAATTTTCGTGACTGTTTTTTGCATTTGGTTTCCGCTGTGATTATTTTATTATTTATTTATTTTATTTTTTTGGTTTTGGTTTTTTTTTTATATCACTTTCATTAGAAACGCGCGCCCAGGCCTACGACAACAAAATTTATAGCATTTTTTTTTTCGGTGAAAATAAAGCGCTTTTTTTTGGGCATAATTTGTTGGCCTTTTGTGTGCGTCGTTTTCTGTTATTATTATTATTATTAATATTATTTCTATAAATTGTTAGGCTATGGCCTGGGCCTTTGTTGTGCTAATGGACGAGTTGGTCACAATTTTTAGTGGACTTTGATGTAGGTTTTTTATTTTATTTTATTTTTTTTATTATTTTAATGGCACTTTAAACTTTCACTTTTGCTGTTTCCATTTAGTATGAGTTGCTGAGTTTTTGATGGTCATATTTGCGTATTTTTAAGTGGAGCTTGGACAAAATGGAAGTTTTTTTTATAAGGAAGGTTTGACGTCAGTTTAGCACAAAGAGTTTTATAGCTAAGAGACTTTTTTCAGTTATCACATATTATATAAAATATCCCAAATAATAATCTTAGTAAAACAAACAGAAATCAAGCATAGAAAGGGCTTCTCTTATATTAATAAGAGAAGGCACTTCTATTATTTGATTTGGCTTTACTTAAGTTTTTTTTTTTCACTTTATGTATTTAAAGCAATTAAAATTCCACCTAAAAATCCTGTATCAAAAGAAAACAAAAATCTGCAGCTATAAATTTAGCATTCAGTTAGCTTTAACGTGATATCGATCGCGCATCCGTTTCGAGGCAATAAAAGCCTCTGCCCTAGCAGCCGGCCCTCGGCCCGCTGCCCCTCCAGCTGAACTGCATTTTAAGCATGGTGCGCATTAAAATGAAAGTGAGAGTAAAACCTCCTGCAAGCAGCAGCACCAGCAGCAGCAACAACAACAATAACGACAGTGCAAACAAGTCAACTTAGCGGATGAACAGCAGAGATAAAAATAAAATACAAATACAAAAAAACTCCCGAAAAGCCCAACCAAATTGAATGAAAACCAGTTCTCATCACCTACAACAACAGCAAAGAAAGCAAGAAAGAGCGCGAGCGAGCGAGAGAAGTGACAGTAGCTGCCTGCTAGCGAGCACACATGCATACACACATACGTATGCGCAACGGCATTCTAAACGAAAAAGTAGAACAAAAGCGAGACACCGAAGACCCCTGACATTGACATCCAAGTGAAGTAACATAGTGCGAATAGAAGCATGTTTGGCAGTAATAGCAGTTTTTCAGCTAGATCAGCTGAAATGGCTTGTAGAATACAATGTTTACGGCTGAGCACTGTTGTTGCTGTTGTTGTTTTTATTTTACAGCTAGTTTTGTAGCTACTATCTCGCAAATGTTATGCAATGCAAGCGATTTTTTTTTTTTGATTTTGCTGTTTTGCTTTGAGTCCAGCTCAACAATTGAGGCAGCTTATTCGGCACGTATGTATATGTATGTATGTATGTTGTTGCTGTCGCAGTCGCAGTCGCTGCTGCTGCATGCACGCCCCTTTCACCTGTTTCGACGGCGCTGTCGGCGTCGCTGTCGACTTGGCTGTTGGCGCATGCGTTGCGTCGATGGCGCAATTGCGGTAATTTTTACTGCAATGTTGTTGTTGCTTTTTTCTGCTCTTTTTCTTGTTGTTGCTGTTGTTGTTGTTGCTTTCGTATATTACATGGCACTCGTTTATGGCTCCGCTGGCTCTGGTTTTGTTTGACTGCCTTTTGCTGAAGTGCAGAAAGTGTAACACTTTCGATTGTTGTGCCGTCTCTAGTTGTCGTTGTTGTTGTTGTAACTGTGATTGTTGTTGTTGCTGTCTGTGTTGTGCATTGCATTCATTCCGCATTCGCGCTCATTTGCATAGCGCTGGCTTTTTTATGTAGCACTTTTTATGTTTAATTTGTGTTGTATTTTTGTTGTTGCTGTGTTTTTTTTTTTTTTGCTTGCTTTAATTTACCTTCTTTTATTTTTACGGTGTATCAAATTAATTATGTGTGGGAAAATGTGTTGGCCATTTTTTTCCTCCCATTTTATTTCCGGGTTTCGTTAGCATGAAAACTTAAGCTTAGTCGGCCTACGAGCTGGTTTGTCACTCTTTGGTTAAGTTTTTAATTGGTTTTTGGCCAACATTTGTCTGCTTTTATTTTTGCAGAGATGAACTGTGAAATTTTTCGTGGCTAAGTGTAATTTTTGTAACGGCTTTTCGATTAATCAACGCTTTCTTTTGCTTTTATAAATGTCAAATTTCATTGCTGTTTTTTTATTTTTTAATGACTTGAATATATAAAGGTGTATTTATGGAAACTAAAATTTTGCTCGTGCTTCAATATAAAATGTTACCAATATAT